GGCCCACCGGCACCCAGCAGAAGGAGATGAGGGACTTCATCAATCTCTTCTCCAAGTTTTACCCCTGCGAGCACTGTGCTGAGGATCTGAGGGAAAGGTGAGTTGCTTCCTGAGTTGTTTTGTGGGTTTTTTTTTGTGGTGGTGGCCGCTGAAGGGGCTCACCTGAGGAGCTATTTGCATAGCAACGGTGCTTCCTGCATTTGAGGTTTGCGAGGGCCTGAACCGGTGGCTTCCATTATTGCATAAACCAAAGATACACTTACCTAAAGAACAAATACCTTTTCTGATGTTGTGTGCTGCCTCCGAATCTTCCCTGAGGCGGTTTCAGGATTTTCTTGTTCAGAGTGGGCTTGCACTCCGTTGTGGAATTAGGCCGATACTTGAAATAATTTGGCTTTCAGGAGGCAAGTCTTTTATTTACCCCAGAAAAATCCAGTTTACTGGCGGCCTCAGCAGTGGAGGCAAACACCAAGATAGGCTGCAATGTTTGATGAAGTTTTCCCCTCCTGGTACTGTCAATTTGTTTCTCAAAATTTTGACTCCTCTGTTGTGGATGATGAATGTGCAAAAATAAATAATTTGAAAACTCATTATTGACGCAGCAGGCGTCACATGGCAAAACAGCTGCTCAGGTTTTTTTTACTTATTCTTCTATTTTTGTTTAAATTCACTATTTTGGTGAACTCAAGCATTTCTTGCTTTTTGTCATAGATAAGCTCTCTGTGTCTTTTCCACTTGATGAAACGAGGCAGTGAGTGAAGCCAGACCAGCTGCAGCCGTCGGTGTTTCGGTGATAATTGCTGATCTCTGTGTGCTCTCTTTTGCACTCTCTGTGGAGAAGTAACAGTTGTTTCCTCTTCCCTGTTTGCAGATTACGTACAAATCAGCCTGACACTAGCACCAGAAATAACTTCTCCCGGTGGTTGTGTCTTCTTCATAACGAAGTGAACAGGAAACTGGGGAAATCTGAATTTGACTGCTCTCGGGTGGATGAGCGCTGGCGAGATGGTTGGAAAGATGGGAGTTGTGATTAGTCCGTAAGAGACTTCTTGGGAAATCTGAACAGGTCGATTTGACCTGGTGTCGAGTCACCGCAGGGTGAGTGCGGGTCACCGGCTCGTGGTCACGTGCTTGCGTGCATGACTGGTACGGCTTGTGGAAGTGAAGGTAAAATAATTCTAAAAGTAAATCTGGAAATGTTATCCTAATAGTATATTGATAAATGGTTACACAAATGTATTACCTGAGGGATCGTGGCCTTACATTTGACAGAGGAATTGACAGAAACCTGTGAAACTGAGTCACAAACTCGTGGAGACTTTTTCATTACGACATTTCTTTATTTTAGGGGCGTTTGCTTCTGCGACTAGAATTTGTTTTCCCCGAGTGTGGTTGTGGAGGGCTGCCCTGTGGCATTTTACATTTGTCTGCAGGCATTGTCCTGGTCTTTTAGAAAATGCACCTGATTAATGGGAATTCTAATTTCTGTTGTTCTGATAGAGAACCCCCGCGCTCTTGTTTTGTGCCAACTCTGCACCGACAGATCTCTCTCTCTGAGCTCTGCAATGCTGCTTGTTAAACTTGTGTCCAGTTCCTTTGGCAAAAGGTCTGCAGGCAGGTACGTGTAATTTAGATACTAACATCGTGGAGCCCAGATTTCTCATTTCATTTTTGCATTTCAACTTAATCCTGTAAGAGGACACTGTAGAGAGGGAAACTAAAGCAGGACCAAAGAAAAAAAACCAAACCCCAACAAACAACTCGTCTGATGAATGGAATGAAATATCAACTGGGTGAAATTCAGCTGTTTTAAATCGATTGCTACTTTTCTTTGGACCCCGAAGCAGAATGGTGACGTGTTCTACTAGAACCATGTATTTGTAAAGCAGATGACCTCTTCATCTCTGCTGTGAACTCGCGTCTGTCCTGAAAATAGCTTGAGACTGATGCCTGTAATGAAGCACATTAAGCTTGGTTGAGCATTTCTGAGGTGTCACTTGCGCTTTGAAATTCTTGACTGGTACTTGCTGACCTGGTCGATATTCTGGTGTCAGCCCTTACCTGAAAATCTAGAACAAAAGGACTTTTTTCAAGCCCCCCTCGGTGTTAGAGTCCTGCTTAAGACTGCAGTGTCGGCTTTACCTGGTATTTATTGCGCAGGAGGAGGAGTGCCGAGGGCAGTTCCCTCCAAATCCGTGCTAGATGTGTTGTTCTGATACAAAAATGTGAATTTCAGCTTCAAGTGAAATAGCAGCATAAAATAATTTGTGCCATGATGCATATAACCATCTTTACAAAAAGAGATACAGCTTACCAAAAAAAAAAAAAAAAACAAAAAAAATTCAAGTTCTCAAAGCAGACAGCGATATCGTGCCCTTATTGCATTTCTGGCTGGGAAAGGTTTGCAGGAGTTTGCACAAATCTTGACCATAGTAGGTTTTTTGCTGCTG